GCTGTGTCCAACAAACAAGTGCCCTTTGATTCTAGGGCAAACACTACAGAAAATGATATATTTGCTCGAGCAAACAAAAGGAAAAGTAGAACATTCATTTTGAGGTTACCAAATGCAATACACACTTTGCTGATTTTATGTAATTAAATCCATTCCATCCTAAAGCGACATGAGATTTATCTAAGCATATAGCGAGAACAGATATTACCAATATTAAAGCAGGAGTTACTTTTATTGTTATAACTCACAGCGAAATAAGGAACAAACCCCAAAATTATTATAAACGAAGGCATCTTAAGCGAGTTCAAGTCTTTTCTGTGTTGACACAGAAATATGTATCATAAGCCCCTCTTAAACTGACTCAGTGCTTTGGCATCTGCAAACTTCTGGTTCTCTTGAGGAAAGCTAGTGGTGTGAAGATTTCTGAGTTCATGGGAAGACTGAATGTTCACAGTTCTGAGCCAGGCATTTGCAAATTTGCATATTTTGAGGAAGTACAAGCTTACAGTTGTTTTTTCTCTATGATCTGTTACTGTTCCTTGCTGGCAGCAGCCTATTGGGCAAAGCGGTAAGAGCCATAATGGGCCATTCCTACATTTTAAGTTGCTCAGGCACATCTTTTGCATAGGTGTCAAGTGGTGCCTTAGATGGCAGTTTACATTTTAACTTGTTTTAAAAAGTGATGATTAGTTCTAATAGAAGGAAATTAAAATAAATTTATTAATTTCCCTTATATAATAATTTATCTTCTTTTGTTGGGTAAGAACAAGAACAAGATTGTAGTAGTTTCAGAATATTTAAGAACCAAAAGAGAAAATTTCCCCAGCCTAAGAGCTGTGCAAAACCTAAGCATTTATTTGATGAGAGATGCTTATTATAATCACTTTTTAACTATTTGCTCAGCAATTAAAATCAATCATGCTGTTTAATTTCTCTTAATTTGGATACTTCAGATACGCGCTTTATATGAAACTCTTCCTTCAAAACTTGATTAGCTGTTTTAATAACCTCCATTACTCCTGAATTCTTCAAGACACAAAATATTACTATTTTTTTCACTCACATCTATTTTTATTTCAGTTAAATTGCTTGTCCCAAGATGTTCAGTATATATTATGTTCTCCTCCGTGTATTTTTGATTTATCTCTCTTCACGTTCTAGTCAGGCTCTCTGGACAACCAAAGCTGTATAAATGACAGTTAAATCTCTTTATGTCTGTGAAGTGGAACAATCTCAGTCTATTTACATAGCTCCCATTATTTTAGCTTTAATACTAAGATGCTACTGAAATTCCAAACTCATATGCTTTGGTAGTGCATAACTTATTAATTTCAATTCCTCTTTTTCCATTGACTTTAACAAATCCTATAACACTAAATTCCAGGTACTTCATCACAACACTCAGCTGTGGCTTTGAAAATGAAGTTTGAATTTCAATTTTGTGCTAGACCACTGCAGTCACACAATTGGGTAAGACAGGGGAGGGGCTGAAGACTCCTGTGAGATGCCTTCTGCCTCATGCTGCAGTGACACAGACCTCACGAGAGTGGTCTTGCTCCCAGAAGTCCTGGCCACTACTGATCCTGCCAGGCATGAATGCAGGAATGTGGGAATTCTTGTCTGAAGTTCTGATGAAAGCATGAGCCTGTACTGTGTGAAATGCTAGATCCACAACAATTTTTAGAATTGCAGAATCAAGGGCCATATTTCCATGGCATTGTGATTTGGAAAAAAAAAAAAGAAAGAAAAAAGAAAATAACGCTTAAACCAAAAATGGAACAGCTGAAGTGTATGAAATGTAAACTGTTAAGTAAGCTTTCATTTCAATAATGCCGTTTTTCATTCTGTGACCTTTTCCCATCCAGGCTTGATAATCTCTTGGATAACATTAGAGAAGGCAAAGGTTATGAGATTTAACTGATATCCAATATTGTCAGTGTTAAAACCTTTGAAATGCTTCTTTTAGATAGTGCACAAAAAACGAAAATTAAAAACTGCAAAGATTTTTTTTTCCTCATTCATTTTTTCTTCTGTCTTTGGGGCTTTTTGTTACTTGCAGCTTGAAACACAGATACAACAAGCTAAGTCTAAGCAATCTCCTCAGGTCCTGATACACCAGCAAAACATAGTTCATTATATTGTTTTCTCATATCAAGCCCAAATTTCAGTCATCAGCAGCTAGCTATGGCACATTTTTGAAACAGAAGGCAAAAACAGATGGAAAAGAATGAAGAATCTCAAAACAGATAAAATCTATTTGTCTTTTACTAATTTGAACAATGTAGTCTTTTCCCCATCAGTGCCAGAAACACTGGTGAGATGACTGATGAGTTCATCAGTATTGTTATTTATTATTATATTAGTGGGAAGGCAGGATGAAGGGAGAAAAAATAAGAGTAAAGAGAGTGAATGTACAGTTTCTTCAGTATTTAGAGAAAAGCAATGATGCCTGCTCAGTCATTATTGCTTCTAAAATGTCACAGTATCCTGGCATCATGACAATAGAAGCTGAGCAACACAGGACTTAGATAATCCTAGTTTCAGAATCATAGGGTGAGAGGAGATTTTAAGAAGTTATCCAATTTATCTCCACATTGCTAAGAAAAATCAGCTTTTGCTGCATCATTTCTCAGTGCCTGCCTTGCCTATTCTTAAAAATCCTTCTTTATGTAGACGCTGGACAACAAAACTACTTATTTTTGTCCTTGTCACTAGAAAAATCCTTGCTAATGTTTAAGCAGAATATATTTTAAATGCTTGCTATGCATCCCAGCCATTACAAAAGCAGATAGTAGACACTTCTTCCTAGGTCACCACTTCTGTAATCACAAAACTAACAGTAAAAAACTCTTATCTTGGTCAAAGAGCAGGAGAGCTTTACCCCCTTTCAGTTACAAAACAACAAATATAAACAAATACAGTTGAACAAAGGGCATTTTGACTGAATAAGAAGGCAAAACAAAGTGGTGGAAGAGGACAGATCTGAGTGCCTTCATGAAGATACTGAAACAGGAGATTGTGTACCACAATGTATTTAGTACACAGTCAGAGGTCATGAGATATAGGAACTAATCTGCAGGTCTCAGCTCCATTTGATAATCTAGAGCAACTCAGGGTTTCCTGCTCTTCTGGTTCTAATAATCATTCTGTACTTCTACTATCTACATCTCAGCTCTTTCAGGAAGCTGACACTGACATTTACTGACCAAAAATATAAATATGTTTTATTTAATGCATTATGCATTAAAAATTAAATTTATTTAATGTGTTTATGCATTAATATACATACAATGACAAAATATTTTAGTTAAGGAAATATTTTCGTTACACTAATAACAAAGTGTTATTCAATACTTTTAAGGTACAATGTCATCCATTATATCTTTGGCTAGATCTAATATTAAATATATTGTATACACATATATATAAAATAGCATATATATAGCCTACATATACATATATATATACATAAACGCATAAATATTAAATTACTTTTAAAAAATACTACTAAGTTAGAAAATTTAGAGAATGTTTGTTTTCTTTATCAGGACCTTAGGGTCTAATCAAACAATACAGTATAATAGTATAAACAAAATAATAGTACAACCATATAACATAATAGATACAGTATAATAGTATCATATGATAAAATAAGAAAGGTTTGAAAATATCTAATGTATTAATAGTAAGTATATAAGCAGCCACAAGTAATGACAGAAGAACCTTGTTCTTAGGGAATATGTAATTACAAGACCCTCACTTTATATTGTTACTGAAATATTTGGTAGGAATACTTTAAATAAACCAGGGAATGGTCAGAAAAACAAAAGCAAGGAGGTAAAGTTGAGATTAAATCTCAAATACAGTTACCTAAAGAAGGAACATGGCCTCTTCAGAAGATTGTTGAAATCCCTCAACAAGGCTGCCAGTGAGACTGTAAAGGGAGTCAACCACTCACTGGACTTTGGTGCTGCCAAACACAGTACTGCCCAAGAAGATAAAGAAAAGTGGGCCTGTAGCTGTTTGCTAAAAGGATGTCCACTAAGTTTCCTCCTGTATCAATTAATAAATGACAGCTCCCACCTAACTTTCTAGAGATACCTAAAGGTGCATATTGCCCACTGCTCTCTCTATTTGCTAGCTCACACTTTACTAACTCTCCTCACAGCCTTCATTGATATAACTTTTGATACTACCTAGCAATACACACCAAATTAACATAATGATTCTTATGACAAATAACAGCAACAAACTTTTCAGTACTTTGGTCGCTGTGATCAGGAAGGGGAGGATTTCCTGCTCAGAGAAATACTTGCTTTGATGATCAAAGCAATAAAGCAAAAACACAGAGATGAGCTCTGTGAAAATCTTTCTGCCTTCCAAAAATGCTGGTGTTTTATAACCTGTGTAATATACTGATTCCAGAGACACACATCTAGGACTGTAGCTGTTTATTATCTCTTCTTTGCCACTGCTGCTGAATGATGTCTCCCAAGCTGCTGCTTATATAAAAAATACATGTTTCTCTTTTAAAATGTTTTATCTTCATGTTTAACTTTTAGTTCTCTCATGGGAAACGATATATATTAAGAGATTACTTCATACTTCACAGCCAGAGAAGGTTTTAAGCTTGAGTCTCTTACCACACGCTGCATTAAAAGGAGCATTTTTTAAAGACCAAGCTCAAACAAAAATCCATATTCTTTTTGTCCAACTGTATTTTGTAAATGCCAATCCAGCTTCTTTTCCAGTGTATGTTTAGGTGCTGCAAATTCGAACGAAAAATGTCAGAAGAACATTGGAACTCTTTTTTTCTTTTTCCTAAACAGAGATGCAGGGAGATTTTATTTACTGTGTACAGGTGAAGCCCGAGAGAAGGGAACCCACGCTTATTTATTTTTCAAACTAATCTTGACACAGACACAGGGAAACACCACACCTGACTGGAAAAGAAGCTGTTTTAGAAGAGAAAAAAGACAAAAAGAGAGCCAGAAAGCTACCTTGTTCCAACATCTTCTCCATTCCAGCACGGGAGCCCATCGGCAGCTGCCAGCTCGTTCCCGCACAGCTGATCCGCCAGGCCGCCGTAAAAGGCTCTGTAGAGCCGCAGGTGGCTGATGAACTCCCTGCACACGGGAACACCAGAAATAATTGTCAGTATCAACCAACAACACTGAGCTGTCCTGCTGTTGTGCATTTCTGAGAGATAAGGAATGTGTTTGTTCCATTACTCTCCACCGGTTCCAGGGATTTTTTAAATCGATCTCTCAATAGATGAGTTTGATTCTTTTAGATACGCCTCATTAGTTTACAAAGTTGATACTCCCACTGCTCAAATTGAAAAAAAGAAAATCTACTTTACATATTCTCTGGAACAGGAACTATTTCTTTCAACCTGAAATTTTCTTGCATTGTAGTGACATAGTTTGCAATGCTATAGTTGGACAAATAGATGAAAAAATGCTCCAAATAAGAAGCATAGCAAATAAAAAAATAGGTGCAGATGAATAAGTCTCCTGTTTTCCAAAAGTTCTGACAAGAAGTCCCCTACCTATCTTTACAAATACTACAAAAAATATTTTTTAAAGTTATGCAGCAACTCAAGATTCAGGTAAAATGGGTTTAAGATGTAGGGGTTCAGTGTTTAGTAAATATTAAAATAACCATCTGAAGGATGGTATCATTTCTACCATGTGCTGTGCTGGCAGGTTACAAATTATGTATTGCTATTTTAAATAATTTTAAAGATGCCCAGAGGTAATGATAAGGTTTTGTACTTAATACAAAACAAATTAATTACTTTTTGGTTGGTATGCTCTCAACAGAATTGTGATATTTAATATACATTGTTTGTTTATGAATTGAAAATCTCTTCCTAGGAGACCCTTTCCTACCGGGAAAAATTAAGATACTTTTTCATTCTGAAATGGAACATGACACATTACTGAGTTATCTATGACCTGCAGGCACACAGAAAAGCCCCACCAAATGCTGTACTCACTGCTCTGTAAACCAGCAAGGTCCACTTAATGTTAACTATTTTTATAGTGTCTGGAGTTGTGAAAAAATACCAGAAATAGTATATATATTTCCCTATATTTAATTACCATAGGACTATATGCTATAGGGAATTTAATTGTTCAGTATTGTTTACTTCAAATTAAAACAGATAAAACATCAGTGATTTATACAGTCCATCATTTAAAAAGCCATACATTCTTTCATGTAATACGGCAAATATTTTACACAAACTACAGTAGCTTTGATTTACTATGTCTATTAAATGTGATGTGAGTGCCCTACTAATTCTAAAACTGCAGTTCTGAAAAATCCCATGTAGGGTCAATTTTGACAATGCAACATATAATTGCTTATGTGCATTAGGTTTTAAATGTGATTCATCCACACTCTCCTAGCCATGAATAATCATGTCTCTTATTTCTCCACACCCAAAATTGAATCCATTGTGCACAGTGGCTTTGCAATTTCCCTCCAAATGCCATTGAGTATATTGATTTTGATTTTGTCTATGCTTTATGTTTACATTCTGGATGAAAAATGGTGTTTAGATAGTCCTCTCAAAGTGAACAGTTAGAATTTCTTCTTCTGAAGAAATAAAAATAAATAAATATAGCTGTCATAATATCCTGTCACAAACTGCATTCTAACAGAAAGGTCATTTAGTTCATTAGTAAATACGTCCTCAGGCAAAGATACATTTAATAGAGAAGTAATAACTGATTTCAGCCCCTGTTGATGTCTGACCAAAGTAGTTAGAAGGGCAAATGGTATGAATGTCAATTTTCATATGATCATCCTCTAGACTAGATAGCATGTAATTATAGCCAGCTGACCACAAATATGCAATTACAGTCAGTGGAAGTTGAAGATACTTTTTATCTGTTTATTCAGAATTTTTTTTTTTTTTTTTTTACAATTTCATCCTGTGTACTAGAAGCTGTTTACAGTTCTGGAGAAAAAAGCATTACATACTTCCAAGTTTGTTTGATTTTGTCTATGCTTTATGTTTACATTCTGGATGAAAAATGGTGTTTAGATAGTCCTCTCAAAGTGAACAGTTGGAATTTCTTCTGAAGAAGAAATAAAAATAAATAAATATAGCTGTCATATTTTGTCACAAACTGCATTCTAACAAAAAGGTCATTTAGTTCATTAGTAAATACGTCCTCAGGCAAAGATACATTTAATAGAGAAGTAATAACTGATTTCAGCCCCTGTTGATGTCTGACCAAAGTAGTTAGAAGGGCAAATGGTATGAATGTCAATTTTCATATGATCATCCTCTAGACTAGATAGCATGTAATTATAGCCAGCTGACCACAAATATGCAATTACAGTCAGTGGAAGTTGAAGATACTTTTTATCTGTTTATTCAGAATTTTTTTTTTTTTTTTTTTTTACAATTTCATCCTGTGTACTAGAAGCTGTTTACAGTTCTGGAGAAAAAAGCATTACATACTTCCAAGTTTGTATGTTGCTATGGAAGGCTTGCTTGGATTTTTTTAAATTCATCTAACAATTTTTTGGCATCAAAAGAAAGGAGAAATTTCTTTTTCTTCTCGTACCAAATAGTACCAGAAAATACCAGCTTAGGTCCAATGGTAAAAATAATTCAGAAGTTCAGGTAGCAGCAACCCAACATGTATTTTAAAAGGTAACCTTTCATATGGACATACATTTGGAAACAGAAGTACCACAGGAGGTAAATAAGGTGGAGTTGGGGAAGAGAACTTCCTTAAGAGCAGGCTGCAAGCACTTGTTGAAGTCACACTTCCACGTGAGGTTCTCACAGTTGCTATGGGAATATAAAGTGAAATGTAAAGTGGCTGTGCCTATTGAGGAAGGAGGTGATCCAGAAGGTAGCAACTGCAGATGGTAGCAGATAGGAAATTGTTAAACTGGAATCTGCACCAATGGATTTCAAACTTTCTTTGCCTTCCCCTTTTTGGTGCAGTTTGCATGCCATGAAGTGTCTCCAGAATCTCAGGCAGGTGAGGGAAGTTCCGGGAAGGGAAGGGAAGTTCCGGGAAGTTCCGGGAAGTTCCAGTGTTGCTTTGTGCTGCCCACTGCCTCTCATGCCCCTTAAGGTCTCTCAGGAGATCTCCCTCAGGTCAATACACTGTTCTGCTTTGAAACATGGAACAGTCCTGGTTTAAGTGAGATTTTAGAATATGATATTGTGTTTGCAGAGTGTTAGCAATCAGAAAACATCAAGAACTTGCATGTAACTGAGAAACATGCACCCATGTAATGGTATTCCCTGAAAAATGTCTGCGCTGGCTAAAGCAAACTTCTGGTTTGCATATCTTTCTGTTACCACAATGTTTTCAAAACTCTCTATTTATATTTTGCATTGTTGTTTTTTGTTTCCACTATTTAGTAACTGAAGGTCCTTACACTGAGAAGAATGGCTTGCCTTTGAAGCTCAGAGGCACCTTTTCTTCTCCAGACATCAGGAGTGAGCAATTATTCCCTGCAATTCTCTCACTTCTGTTTCCTTCTGCACTACAAAGTGAAATGAGAGGAAAAAGAGGACAAAGAAAACTTCTCTGTTCTTTAGTAAATACTGTAACATAAATTAAATTTCCGATTTTAACTTTGTACTTCATTTGCACAATGGAGCCTTTAATCTTAACTGCAACATTCCTAATGCCTAACAGTGCTATTATGGTCATTAAAAACCTGATTAACTTGTCTAAATATAGATTGGCCTTTGAGATTCCTTCAGCTACCTACGATACCTGCAGAAAGCTGGAATCCACCAGAGAATCACAGAATCTGCTGATTTGGAATTGATTCACAAGGATCTTTGAGTCCAGCTCTTAGCCCTGCACAGGACTACCCTAAGAGTCTCACCATCTGCCTGAGAGTATGTTCCAAACACTTCTTCAACTGTGTCAGGCTTGAACTCTATGATACAACTTATGGGACACCTGTGTCCCTAGCAGGAGTTCAGCTGGGACACCCCAGGCTATCTCTGAGTGGCACTGGATGCTTACAGACCTGTGGGCAGCTAAAACGACTTCTCCTTTCCACAGACTGTAATGACAGCTCAAACAACTAACTCATACAGTTGCACAAAGTTCATTCTGCAATGCTGAGCCAGGTTTAAATGAAATCTCCAACCCTCTGAAGTCACTTCAATTCACTATATACCAGCAAAAGAACCAACAAAAAAAATCAGCAGGTCTTGCTTGAACAAGGCTTTCAAGATTTAGTCCCAAATGCTTAGTTGTCTGGCTTTTTACAGCAGAAAGGTATGTAAGAAAAGTCATTCATTTTTTTCTGTCTTACCAGCTTGTACAAATAGTTTTCTGTAAAAAGCTACAGTCACTTTTTTTCAGATTTAATAATGCCTGCTGATATGTAAAGTTAAATGTAATTTTAAAAATTACACACAGAGCTAACACACATATTCTATCAACATTATCTACCCTCCTAAATAATTTAAACCACACCAAGTTACCCTGGTCATATGTCCATTACTTCTGAAAACAAAATCTAGTCATGAAATTCCCCTTTCCAAAATGTAAAAGAGTAGACTGTGTTGCTAAAATGTTTCATTCTTTGGAGACTTTATTTGCTAGTAATGCATGCCATTGCATTGAGCATAATCTACTCTGTCGTAAAATTAATGGCTTACTTTATTCTTTCTTTCTGGCTGTAAAACTAATGTCTTACTTTCTTCTGTTGGTGAATGTTTGTTCACTGTCTCTGGAGAACATCTTCAACCCTTGATTATCTTTGTTCTGATCCAAGAAGCAACCTGGAGACTGTTTAGGCTTCCTTACAGGAGGACCACATATCTTATTCACCTAAAAGGAAAAAAAATCACAAGAAGAAGGAAAGAACACATGTAAGCAGCAATTGCTATGTGTCTCTCAATTCAGCTTCCCTACATTTTAACAAGAAAGAAAGACTAAGCTACGAAAAGCACAATTAATTATCATACTGTGTAACACTGTATCAATAATGAATGCAGCAAACACATAGTCATTTTATAGTATAAAAAATAATAAAAGCATTCCTTTTTTAGGGATACCAAGTGTGTAAGAAAGTCACCATGTATTTTATTAATTATGGTGCTTTTTTTCCCATAAGGAAGTGTATTTTTATGTAGACTGTATCAGAGTCCTCAGAGAATATGATGTGTTGTGAACAGCAGCATATTTACATTTTTTCTGTAATGTATCCCAATCACCTTTCTAATATGTATTGAACTTTTTGTCCTTTTTGCCTTCTTTCGGGGTTGATAAATTATTATGGCATGTTCAGCCCAGTTACACAAAGATATAGCAAACAGTTAGCATGGTGGAAACTTGCATTACAACATTGAAAAATGCTAAGGTAATGGTCCAGGATGGAAGTTTAATGATATTGGACCACAAATGTTGAAAATATCAAGGAATTTTAAGTCCAGCTTTCTGATCTACATGTCAACAGATAAAAATTCACATGAAGTCTCATTTTCTTCTTTGTAAAATGTGATACTGAGCATTTTATATGACACAGGGTATCACATTCATAGCTCATTACTCTTCCTAGTCATTTAATTAAAAAAATAGGAATATACATATATTCATTAAAGAAGAGATAGTTATATGCTTGTAATCACATCTGACAAGATACATTAAGCAGACAGAACAGCATGAAATGTGTAAGCTGGCACTGGTGAAAAACTAATACTGTATGTGACTTATGAAAACTTGGTAGTCATTTGGTAGTCAACTTTTAGAGAGAAAAGGGGAGAGAGGAGATCAACGTGGTTTCTAAGGCAGACATCCAATCTTGAAGCAGAAACATATTCAAAATGCTACCATGTGAAGGAAGGAGTGTGTACGCTACACAAAAAGGATTATTGTTTCCTATTTTATATTCCCACATGTAAGAACAGATACAGCAAATAAATCTCATTTTCAAGTTATCATCATGCATTAAAGAAAGAAATGCAAGTCTTACAGACCATCTTTCCAACTAAGAACTCCTGTAGAGCTAGTTAAGAAATAAATTTAAAATAGAATAAACACATTTAATTTTAATGAGTTTGTTGGCATGCATGTTGTACGTGGTGATAATGAAAGATTCACTGAATGCACTTGCTTAGGTTGGTGAAAAGAAGAAAGAATCAGCATTATTACTACATAAGAACTAGTGTTCACCTTATGATTTGAAATGGAAGGTAAAGTTGAAAGTGAGTGGTCCTTTTAAGCTGTGGTTCACATGTCACAACAAAGGCAGCCAAGTTATAGTTTAGACCCCCTTTAAATGACATTACCTTCAAGACAGTTATCTCTGAACATATGACTAATGTCCTTTAAGGGATTACACTTTGACATGCCTGAATTTACCTGCAAGACAATAATCTCTGGACATATGACTAATGTCCTTTAAGGGATTACACTTTGAACATCACTTCAGGCATTCATCCCACCATTTCTTCTTAGACGCAGTGTCTCTCTGGACAGCACCTTACTACATTCCTTCTTGTCCTCAAATTCAGTTTCAAACCTCCCTCACTCTATTTCCCCCAGTCCTTCTTCCTCAGAACACACTAAACCATATTCCACCAGCTTAACTGGACTCCCCATTTTCCCCCACTTGCAAGTTTCTACACCTTTTCTATGCTTCATGCACCCTTATGCAAGTTTGCTCCTGTGCCAGCCTCTGCAGCAGCTTATCACATCAGCCCCTCTATGCCAAAATAATGGAGATATACCAGAGACACAAAATGTTTTCATCATTTCATTTGTCTCACTTTTATCATATTCTTTTATGCTCACTGATGTGACACAGAGAGCATTATGCTTATGATCAGCTTCTATGACAAAGCAACTGATTATTCGAGTTGCCTCAGTTCCAGCCTCCCATACACTCTTCAGCTATTCTTTGTCTTACCAAAAATAAAAATAAGGTTTAACAGAGAGTGAGAGTCATATCCAGATGTTTGGGAAGGAGTCATATCCAGATGTTTTGTCTCCTGACAGGCCTGGGTCAGGTGTGTAGGGTGTTATAGGTCTCAAGTGCCTTGCACATGTGAACAAGGCACCTTTGCTGTCCAGGCACTCACAGAGCCTGACTGCAGGGTGAGACCTGTGGGGAGAGGAGAAACAGGGTGGAGGTGACATGCTGGCTAATGCAGACTGAGCAGATGAGTAACAGTCCTTCAGGTCAAGGAGGGGGGGGGGGGGGGAAAGAAAAAAAAAAAAAAAAAAAAATAGCCCCAATTATAAAGAAAGACAAAAATAAATAAATTAGCTCCACTTACAGTAAACTGAAAAAAAACTCATATACATTCACCTTCACCAGGAAAACAAGAGAACCCACAGCTATCCAAGTTTCTTAAATTTACAGTAAAATCTCATTATATTTTGCTCTGACTAAAATGAACAAAAAAAATAAAATCAATAATTTTTAGTCATAGTGCCTTGGAATATGGATGATACTTGTTTTACATGTGCTTTACACAGACAGTTGTTTAAAAATACTGTCTTACAGCCTTCCTCTGTTCTCTTTGAGTCAATGTCTCAAGAAATGCATTTGCAATAGTAGGAAATTTGCTTTCACTGATACATGTAAATACATACCTTAGTTCCAAATACAAAATCTTTCTTAAAAAGTAATCTTGGGCAAACTTTATATACAAAAACAACATTAAAAACAGTAATTATCTGAAATGTCTTTTTAAGATCTGATTTTTTTTCCCCCAGAGCTGGAAAATTCTGAAAATTCTAATAAAAAGCATCTTGCACAGTGCCACATACACCTCTGCCATTCTCCAATGCATATCTGCCAAAGATATGCTTGACAGTAATCATCCTGCTGAGAACTCAGTTCTGTTAATGAGGGCAGCAGCACAAAATTCACTCTTTAGCAGCCACTTACTTATTGAGACAGAGTTTCTGAAGGATGAGCTACTTCAGCATTTACAATGGTGATGTCAGCATCTCTGTAACCTTTCTCATATCTGTGATATTTAAACCTCTGGGACCACTGGCTTTTTATGGTGTTGGTTCTTCTTTCTGTGTTTGGTTACACCATGCTCATATTGCTCAACCAGCCAAACCCAGCCTGGGGTTTTTTAACTGTTCACTAGTGTCTGTCACTTTTATGTCATTAACTTTATGTGCATGACAAATTTACTTTTGCCTCCCTCACTAGCCCAGTCTTCATTATCATCTTGTTTCTTCATTAAACTTGTGCATATGAAAATGTCATGTACTCTTGCCTTGCCTTCAGGTGCCTGTTCTGTCTGTGAGCCAAATCATTTATAACTCAAACATTCCAGTATTTCAATTCACAGTACAGGGCTGATGACAGTCTAAAAACCAGATAAAAAGAGTTCCCACAATAATTTCTGCTTTATAGTTATTTTTTTAATTCTTTCTTTATATCTACAGGAAGAAGTACATGTGATAGGCATAACACCACCTAGTCATACTTATTGTGTTTTCTGAAGGACTTAACTATATTCATTTTTTATTCTCTGGACTGCAAAATTAACATTCTAACTGAGAAATCATTCAGTGCTATTATTGCCAGTCTTGAGAGACTGGAATCATAACTTTGAGAGAAGAGCAATGCTCTCACTACCCTACTGAACTAATAAATGACCATTTTGCAGCAATATCTGATCAGAATCTATTCTTATTATCTTCCAGTGTCACTGAAATGGGATTTCCTCTGAATGTTTCCATAAACTGAGAATTTTTCTTGGCTTCAAAAACAAGAGAGTGTGAAAAATTATTCTCAAAAGGGATGAAAATAGAAAAGTGAAACTGAAAAATTATCAGAAAAAGAATTCAGTGAGAGACCTTTCACTGAATTTCAGGAAGACTTAAAGACTTCCACAAAATTTTAAAACAGGCAAGCCTCAGCAACTTGCTAGGATTTTTTTTTATTTTTGAAACATTCTTAAATACCACACAATATTTAAGGGCATAAGAAGAAAATTATAAAATCCTGATTTTCACAGTTCAGACAAACCTATTGTTATTATAGTCAGCATGCTGTTATTACGCACAATTTGTATGCCACAGTATGATGACTGAGTTAATTAAAAGCTCTTGTAATAACCACACAGTTAAATTGTAATTAGTGCCACACATGAACTTTATGGCAGTTTGATTTTCCTTAGTTCAATTCCTTAGAATGCCTACTTATGATTACTCACAGTCTGGAGCATTATAAACCTTTGTATTTAAACAGGCCTGCACAATGACAGGAGCATCACAGCAATAATGGTCAGACACTGCTCTCTAAGTTCAGACACTCAATATGAGAAATGTCTCACATTCTTTGTTTTGGTTTTGGCTTGTGCCTTTTGCTCTTTTTTTCCCACACCACAAATGGTTCTTTCTGACCTCAGCATTCTACCAAAATTATTTTACATCAAATGACTGAATAAAACAACACAAAGTCCAGTGATGCACTTCAAACTAGATTTACCAAATCTCAGCAGACTCAAGTTTTAATGCTTGCATGGACTATGGGCACACTGGTGCCTTGAAGGTCTGTGAGACAACAGACACATCTGGTACATACTCCATTTACAGGAAATCCTAGAGATATGTACATACATGTATCAAAAACTTACAGTCCTTGCTAAACTTGCCAAAAAAACCCATGAAAGAGTTAAACTTTCAATAAACTCTTTCAATAAAGGAAAGGGCAGTTTTCAGACTCCTGATTCTGATACCCAGCCAGATCTGAGTGAAAGACCAAGAGGTTTTGTACCCAGAGAGGTGTCTTCTCCCCTGTTCCTCAATGCACAGCACAGTCTAAGTGACTAGCTATGCCATAATATGATTTTATTTAA